AGTGATATTTACAAGTCCAAATAGTGTACAGTTAATTAGACTGGCCCCGTGATCTGTTCTGGGAATGTTCTCAGTGTAGGTCGTCTAGTACTTGAGGCTGGCTCTGTAATAGACAAGCCGAACTGAGGTGATCCAGGTATAGATCTTAACTTAGAGGGGTCCATTTAAAGACTGACTAAGGGCACGGCTGGTCACAAGCCACTCATGACTAATTTGTCTCCCATTTTGACGCTTTTCAATACGCAATGTTCACACGCCACAGTTCCTAGCCCACTGTTCTATTATACTTTGAACTAAGTTGTCCATATCGACATAAATATTTCCCTCATCACCTTGATATCAAGCATCAGTAAATAAGCCTTGAGGTAGAAGTTAATCTGAGTCCGCAGTCTACTGATCCTATAGAAAAGGGTTCTTAAGCTGGGGTCCATGGACCCCTTGGGGGTCCATGGATGGCCTTGAGGGGGTCTGTGAAGGTCAGATAAAAATTTAACATTTATCTTCAAGCCAAACAACAACAACCTTCTCATTGAAATGCACTTTTGAGCAGAATTAATGTTTTGTATTGTTTAATTTGCACAAGATGATTGTATTTCATTTTTGTATCGAGTGGCCATTAATTTTTGCATAAGAAGTGTGAAACATAATTCATTGTTAAGATTGTTTACTTTATTTATACTTTGTGTATGTCATACACTGTATGAGGCAATGAATTTTCAATAAAATAAAGTATAGGGTGTCCCATAAGTTTCCATACAACGTATCACCAACGCCATTACAAGCATAACTCCAGCTGTGCTTGAACGTGTTCTTCAGCAGTGGAGGACACGCATTGAAGAGTGTTTTCAACAGAATGGTAGTCATGTAGAGCATATTATATAAGTAAAAATGGATTTTCATATAAAATTTATTTTTCCTATGTATGGAAATTTATGGGACACCCTGTATATTCATTGCATGCAAAGTTGTGTTTATGTGCATATGTGCATTTTTCTAGGGAGGGGGTCCATAGCTTTCACCAGATCCCAAAGGGGTCCGTGACTCAAAAAAGGTTAAGAACCACTGCTACAGAAGAAAAAAATTAATTCCGTGTTGGTAATATTTATGTTCTTTGTTCTTAATTAGTGAGGAACCTCTTAGTGCACCCTCCAATGTATGTAATAAGTCATTTATGTCCAATGTATATTTTCAGCCTTCGGGCTGCAGAATTTTTTCAATAAACCGTTAATTCTTATTATTATTATTATTATTATTATTCCTCGGCGAAATGTTTGCTGCTTACTGTGCACATAACAGCGTCTGGGCATTTACCGCCTCTCTCGAGTCTTCTGCATGATCCATCCTTTCCGCCGTGGCTGGTCAGTGTCGGAGAGGCTCCATGCTGTCACACTATAAGTAATACTAACACACACACACACACACGTACATAACACATCTAGAAATAATGTCTAATATATTTTGAAAATACTATGTTCAGTTAAAAAACAATTATTGGTATATTCTAACGCCTATATAGTGCACTGGTGTTCATTTGTTCAGGACGCCGATCACAAACGGGAGGTCGGCTGTTACCGTCATGACGTCACCCAAGAGTATCGCCAACCAGCACTGTGCAGCCACTATATATTTATCGGATGTTCTGGATGAAAATATTATAACACTGTATTTGCACCATTAGTCTCTATAGTTTAGCCACGATAAATCAATGTTATTATATATGAATGGCCGAGGCTATACAAGACCTGTATCACAACACTGGGTGAGGAGTCAAGTTCGGTATCTTAGTCTTATATCATTATAATTAATGATGTAGTTCTTAATGTAAAATGTTTTTATCATATTACTGATATTGATTTCACATGAAATATTAATTTCTACTTAGTTCACAATCGAAGAATCATCCACTCAAAACCTACTGCATTATCATGAGGTAACAAAATTTTTCCTATGAAACAACTCTTCAAAATTTGCATGAAAACCAACTAAATTAGCATAAGTTCACAACAAGAAACAAGATTATAAGAATATTGCGAAACAGACAATGTGGTGTGACAGAGTAGCACCAGATACCACCAAGGATGTGACAGGCTCTTCGTGGGCAATTGTCACACCGACCGAAGGTCAAACGTTTCAGTAAAAGGCGGAAAAGAAACTTCTGAACAAAGAACTAAAGAAAATCAATAACAAAGCACCTCCATCCAAGTTTTTTTTGTGGGGAATAACCGACCCGGGCACTGGTCATCGACCTACAACGGGGCCTGGAGGACGACAAAGGTAGAGGAGAAAAAGAGTATGTTAATCTACACTACGAAGAAGTCAGAAAAACATTTTTCTGAAAAGAGACAAATTGTAAGAGGATGGAAACCCAGAAGAAGGCAAAGCATTCTACAGTTTGGCTGTGTGAGGAAAGAAGGAACTTATATAACGGTGGGCAACGCAAGCAAGACGAGTGTTACGAGCCCACGGCTCTGCCGTCGGTACAGAGAATGCCAAATCCACCGAACATTACCCGTTAAAGTACCTGTAAAAGAGAGTGAAGCAACATCGCGGCGAAGAGAAAGGAAAGAGAGATTATTTTTTTTATTTTTTTATTTTACGGGGAATAGCCAACCCGGGCACAGGTCATCGACCCACAACTGGGCCTAGGGGGCGAGTAATCTAACTAATCTAACAGTTGAATAGAAGAAGAACCACTCCAGATATAAGAGCAGTACTCCAAGTTAGGACGGATAAATCCCTTATAAACCTGAAAGAGCTGCTCAGAAGTGAAGTAGCTACCGCATGTGTACGGCATTCCCAGCTTTCGGGAGGCAGCTTTAGCAATGTTGTGGATGTGTGGCTTCCATGACATACAGGTATTAAAGGAAGTGGTAAGGTCTAGCATAACCATTATAGAATTTGGCGCAATGGTTGTCTTGAAACGTGATTGGTAGAAGATCTTTTATCCTGGAAAGTGTACTGTAATTGGTAAATACTGTGTTTTATTACTACTGAATTTGATCAAATTTCTACCTCCCCATTCGGAGATGCTACACAGATCCCAGTAGAGAAAAAACGTGTTTTCTTTTAACATTTAAGTACATTTTTTGTTAAGGAACTTTTGTGTTCTATGAATATAATTGCCTGTACACTGTATAATTTTTTATAACAGTTTTTGAAAATGTAACTGTAAATTAAACCTACTGTATATCTGCTTATTTTACTGTTATGTAAATAAATTATGCTTGCTAATTCTAACCATTCTTACGCTGATGATCATCAGCGTAAGAATAGATAGAATTAGTCGTAGTGTGAAATAAGTAATTGATAAAATGAAGGAGGAGAGTAGGCGAAAGAACAGAACTCTGTGGAACACCACTATTGGTAGAGAAAGAGCGAGAGATTGATCCCTCGACAACAACTGCCATGGATCGGTTCTCAGGGAAGCTAGAAATTAGAAAACAAAGTAGAGGAGAGAAACCAAAAGAGGGAAGTTTAGAAGGCAACGACTTGTGCCATACCTTGTCAAATGCTTTGAGATGTTGAGGGTCACGACGAAAGTTTCCCCATAATCCCCAAGGTCATTTTTGTAATTCATGGGCAACAAAATCAAGAAATCCCTAAAGACCAGACAAACGCATCTTAGTTACGGGGATTAGCCCACCCGGGCACAGGTCACAGACCCACATCGGGGCCTGGGGGGGCGAAAATGTAATAATGATAATAATAATAATAATAATAATAATAATAATAATAATAATAATAATAATAATAATAATAATAATTCAATTAAGTAAAATTTATAATAAAAATACATAAATAAAAATAATAAAATAATAATAATAATAATAATAATAATAATAATAATAATAATAATAATAATAATAATAATAATAATAATAATAATAATAGTAAAGAACCATAAAGAAATACGTAAATGAAAAAAAGATCAATAGTAAGAGAAACAATTGAGACCCTGCAATTGTGTGTAAATGAGGCAGAAAGTCAGATGAGCAACCTGGGACTTGGTCACAATTTCATGATGCCATATGACAGCAGGATCTACCATGAGACAACACATTATGCTTCCAATATCTTCCCAGGCGGTAGTACCTCCCTGTTTGGTAGCTGACTATTACCTACTACCTAACTAGAAGTGACTATGCTCTTCAGAGTCTTGTTCAGATTTTTTTTTTTTTATGTATGGTAATGTTCTCGCTTCCACGGCTTGAACTGGTAGACTGTTCATCCTGCATGGCACCTTAGCGAGCTTAAACTGTCCTTTTGCGGTGAGGTCGAGCAGCTATAAAACTTTATCAAGGTGTAGGTGTTTCGTCTCTTTCATGATTGAGAATGTCCCTGTAAGTTGTTAGTCCTCAGTTTACTTTGATAATAGAGACGATTTAGTTCAGGGATAATCTGAGTTGCTTTGTGTTGCACCTATATTATTAGGATATCAAGTCTTTCTGGAGGTAAGGTCGCCATGCCTGTATTTAGTAGTCCAGAGGCACTAGAATATTAAAGATTTGAAGGAGTATATTTTCTTTCTCTATATTCGAAGATACGACTTATAGGTGCAGTTTCGCTTGAGATATTGAGGTAAACAGACCAAAATATAAGTAATTGTAATTTTTTCATATAAACCGGTAACCACACACACACACACACACACACACACACACACACACACATACACGTGCACGTACTGTACATTACAGTAAAAGTATCTTGTTTGATATTATATACAGCTGTACAGCACATCAAGGTTCTGTTCTCTCATCATCTCATAATAACCTTCGTAAACACCTTTTTTCTTGTATATTCGTTATTCTACATTGTTTGTCTTTCACACTAAACGTTCGTCCGTTTTTTCGGCTTTCACGAGTCTCTTCTTCATTAACCTTTATCTTCATGTAATTCTAATAATCTTAGTAAATTAAGACTCCCTCATCTTCTCCTGCAGGTGTTGTGCTCTCCTTCGTCATCTTCCTGTCTATCTTCGGCAACGTTCTAGTCTGTGTGTGCCGACAGGAACCTTCGCAAGATTGGCAACCTCTTCGTCGTCTCCTTAGCTATTGCTGACCTCTTCGTGGCCTGTGTGGTCATGACCTTTGCCCTTGTGAATGATCTGTTGGGTTACTGGCCGTTCGGTGAGCGATTCTGCAGCACCTGGATCGCCTTCGATGTGATGTGTTCGACAGCGTCCATCGTCAACCTCTGCGCCATTAGCCTCGATCGATATATACATATAAAGGTGAGTGGTATTGAATGATACTGCATCCCTCCTCCCCCTGCCAGACCGTCTCTCCTCTTCCATCAATCTCTCTTGGTCGCTCCCTTTCATATTGACTCGTTCGTTAATTCTGTCAACGGTTTTCAATTTCCAGTGGTTAACATTTCACCTTACAAGTTGCCTCCCCTGTATACCTCCCCAGCAAGTTCCTTCCCTGTATACCTCCCCAATAAGTTCCTCCCCTATATACCTCCCCACCAAGTTCCTCCCCTGTATACCTCCCCACCAAGTTCCTTCATGTATACCTCCCCACAAGTTCCTCCCTGTATCTCCCACCAAGTTCCTCCCTGTATACCTCCCCAATAAGTTTCCTCCCCTGATACCTCCCCACCAAGTTCCTGCCTGTTTACCTCCCCAAAGTTCCTCCTGTATACCTCCCCACCAAGTTCCTCCTGTATACCTCCCCAATTCCTCCTGTATACCTCCCAATAAGTTTCCTCCCTTGTATGCCCCTCCCATAAATTCATCCCTGTATACCTCCCAAGTTTCTCCTGTATACCTCCCACCATCCTCCTGTATACCTCCATTCCTCCTGTATACCTCCCAATAAGCTCCTCCTTGTATACCTCCCCACCAATTTCTCCCTGTATACCTCCCCCAAGTTCCTCCCAGTATACCTCCCATTAGTTCCCTCCTGTATGCCTACCACCAAGTTGCTCCCTGTATACCTCCCACCAAGTTCCTACCTGTATGCCTTCCCACCAAGTTCCTCCCTGTATGCCTCCCAATAAGTTCCTCCCTGTATCTCAGAATAAGTTCCTCCTGTATGCCTCCCCAATAAGTTCCTCCTGTATACCTCCCACCAAGTTCCTCCCTGTATACTTCCCCAATAAGTTACTCCCTGTATACCTACCTAATAAGTTCCTCCTGTATACCTCCCACCAAGTTCCTCCCCGTATACCTCCCCAAAGTTCCTCGTATACTTCCCCTAAGTTCATCCCTGTATACCTCCCCATAAGTTTCTCCTGTATACCTCCCACAGTTTCCTCCCTGTATTATTTCCCCTGAAGTTCACTCCCTGTATCCTCCCAATAAGTTCCTCCTGTATACCTCCCCACAAGTTCCTCCTGTATACCTCCCACCAAGATTCCTGTACCTCCCTAATTTCCTCCCTGTATACCTCCCCACCAGTTCCTCCCTGTATACCTCCCACCAAGTTCCTTCCTGTATACCTCACCACAGGTTCCTCCTGTATACCTCCCACCAAGTTCCTCCCCTGTATACCTCCCCAATAAGTTCCTCCCTGTATACCTCCCAACCAGTTTCCTCCCTGTATACCTCCCACAGGCACTCTCTGTATACCTCCCACAAAGTTCCTCCCCTGTATACCTCCCACCAAGATTCCTCCTGTCATACCTCCCACCAAGTTCCCTGTATACCTCCCAATCAGTTTCCTCCCTGTATACCTCCCCACCAAGTTCCTCTCTGTATACCTTCCACCAAGTTCCTCCTGTATACCTCCCCACCAAGTTCCTCCCCTGTATCCTCCCCACCAAGTTCCCATCCTGTATACCTCCCAATAAGCTCCTCCCTGTATACCTCCCCAATAAGTTCCTCCCTGTATACCTCCCCAATAAGTTCCTCCTTGTATACCTCCCCACCAATTTGCCTCCTGTATACCCCCAACCAGTCCTCCTGTGTGCCTCACCAAGTTCCTCCCTGTATACCTCCCCTGCATTTCCTCACATCATGCCCTATACAATAAGTTCCTCCTGTTATACCTCCCCACTTAAGTTCCTCCTGTACCCCACCAGGTCCTCCTGTATACCTCCCCAATAGTTCCTTCCTGTATACCTCCCCTGGGATTCTTCCCTGTAACCTCCCCACCAAGTTTCCCCTGTATACCTCCCCACCAAGTTCCTCCTGTACCTCCCCACCAGTTTCTCCTGTACCTCCCCACCAGTTCCCCTTATATATACCTATCATTTCCCTGTATACCTCCCCAATAAATTCCCTTGTTATATACCTCCCCAATAAGGTTCCTCCTGTATACCTCCCCAACAGGATTTCCTCCTGTATACCTCCCCTAAGTCTTCCCCTGTATACCTCCCCACAAAGTTTCCTCCCTGTATGCCTCCACAAGTTCCTCCTGCATACCTCACCGTTCCTCCTGTATACCTCCACCATTCTTCCCTGTATACCTCCCCAAAGTTCCTCCCTGTATACCTCCTCAGTTCTCCCTTATACCTCACTCAGTCCTCCCTGCATCTCCCCACCATTTCCTCCCTGTTACCTCCCTAAAAGTTCCTCCCCATACCTCCACCATTTCCTCCCTATCATCTTCCCTCCATTCCTCCCTGTATACCTCTACAAATTTCTCCCCTGTATACCTCCCTCCGCTCTCCTGTATTTCCTTCCTAAGTTCTCCCTGTATACCTCCCCACCAGTTTCTCCCTGCCTCCCCACCAAGTTCCTCCCTGTATACCTCCCCACAAGTCCCCCTTATACCTCCGCCAAGTTTCCTCCTGTATACCTCCTATAAGTTTCCTCCCTTATGCCTCCCCACCAAATTCCCCCTTTATCGTCCCCACAAGTTCTCCTGTATACCTCCCCTAATTTCTCCTGTACACCTCCCACAATTCCTCCCCTGTAATCTCCTCCATTCCTCCCTATACCTCCCTACTCATTCCTCCCTGGTACCTCCCCTCCAACTCTCCCCTCTGCTCCTACCTAAATTTCCTCCCTGTCCTCCCCACATTCCTCTATGTATACCTCCCCACCATTTCCCTTATACCTCCCTATAATTTCCTCCCCTACCTCCCCCCATACCTCCCCATTTCCTCCCCTGTATACCTCCCCTATAAGTTTCCTCCCCTGATACCTCCCCACAGTTCCTCCTGTAAATATCCTCACCCATTTCCTCCTGTATACCTTCCTATAGTTCCTCCCTTGTATACCTCCCCTCAAGCTCCTCTGTATGCCTCCCCATCAGTTTCTCCTCTGTATACCTCCCCCAAAGCTCCTCCTCTCCATACCTCCCCACAGCTCCTCCCTTCTACCTACCTAATAAGATCCCTCAATACCTACCTAAAATCCTCCTGTACTCTCCCACAATTTCACCCTTACCTCTCCATCATTCCTCCCTATACCTCCTCACCAATTTCTTCCCTTATACCTCCCCTACAGCTCCTCCCTGTATACCTCCCCAAAATTTCTCCCCTGTATTCCTCCCCAATTCCTCTTTGTACCTCCCCCATGTTTCTCCCCTGTATACCTCCCCACCAATTTCCTCCCTGTATACCTACCCACCAAGTGCTCCCTAGTTCCTCCCCCCAAAGTTCCTCCTCTGAGCCTCCCACCAGTTCCTCCTGCCTCCTCTTTTCCTCCCTTTATACCTCCCTACAATTCTCCTGTATACCTCCCCACAAGTTTCCTCCTCTGTATGCCTCCCCACCAATTCCTCCTGTGCCTCCCCACCAGTTCTTCCTCTGTATACCTCCCCACCAGTTTCTCCCTGTATACCTGTCAAACGTTCCTCCTGTATACCTCCTCCTACCATTCTTCCCCTGTATACCTCCCCACCCATTTCCTCACCTGTTACCTCACCACCATTCCTCCTGTATACCTCACCACCCATTTCTCCCACCTTATACCTCACCATTTCCTCCCCTGTATGCCTCACCCATCCTCTCTATACCTCCTAATAATTTCTCCCTGTTACCTCCAGTCATTCTCCCCTGTATATCTCCCGACAAAGTTTCTCCCTGTATACTCCCCATTAAGTTCCTCCCTGTATACATCCCCCATAAGTTCTCCCTGCATACCTCCCCAATTTTCTCCTGTATACCTCCCACATTTCCTCCCCTGTATTCCTCCCCACCATTCATCGCTGTATACCTCCACAAAGTTCCTCCTATACCTCACAAAGTTCCTCTGTATACCTCCCCACCAATTCCTCCCTCTATATACCTCCCCAGCTCCTCCCTCTATACCTCCCAACCAGCTCCTCCTGTATACCTACCTAATAAGTCCTCCTGCCCTTACCTCCCCCACAAGTACTCCTGTATACTTCCCCATTCCTCTCTGTATACCTCCCCAAAGTTCCTCCTCTTATACCTCCCCACCCATTCTCCCTGTATACCTCTCCAACCATTCCTCCCTCCCTTACCTCTCCACCAATTTCTTCCTTATACTCCCCAATAATTTTTCTCTCTGTATACCTCCCATTCCTCCTCTGTATCTCCCCTACTCCTCCTTGTATACCTCCCAACAAGTTCCTCCCTGTATTCCTCCCCACCCATTCCTCTTTGTATACCTCCCCAATAAGTACCTCCCCTGTATACCTCCCCAATTTCCTCCTGTATGCCTCCCAACCAAGATTGCTCCCTGTATACCTCCCCTAGTTTCCTCCCTGTACCTCCCCAATTCCTCCCTGTATACCTCCCCAAATTTCTCCCCTGTATACCTCCCCACCATTCTCACCTGTATGCCTCCCCACCATTCCCTCCCCTTTGCCTCCCCTGTTCCTCCCTGCATACCTCCCCATAATTTCCTCCCTTGTATACCTCCCCACCATTCCCCTTGCCTCCCCACCATTTCCTTCCTTTATACCTCCCCACAGTTTCCTCCCCTGTATACCTCCCCACCATTCCCCCCTTTATACCTCCCCAATTCCTCCCTGTACCTCCTCTATATTCTCTTCTGTATACCTCCCCACAATTTCTCTGTATAACTCCCCCACCAGTTCTCCCCTGTATGCCTCCCCACCAATTTCCCCCCTTTATGCCTCACCACCATTTCCTCCTGTATACATCCCCCATAAGTTCCTCCTGTATGCCTCCCATTCCTTATGCCTCCCACCATTCCTCCTGCACCTCCCCATCATTTCCTCCTGTACCTCCCCCACCATTCCCCCTTTATACCTCCTCCTCCATTCTCCCCCCTGTACCTCCCTAAATTTCCTCCCCTATACCTCCCCTCCATTCTTCTCCTGTATACCTCCCCATCATTCCTCTCCTGTA